CTTCTTCTTCTTCTTCTTCTTCTTCTTCTTCTTCTTCTTCTTCTTCTTCTTCTTCTTCTTCTTCTTCTTCTTCTTCTTCTTCTTCTTCTTCTTCTCCTTCTCCTTCTTCTCCTTCTTCTTCTTCCTCTTTTCTCCTCTTCCTCTTCCTCTTCCTCCTTCTCTTCTTCCTCCTCCTCCTCCTCCTTCTCCTCCACCTGCTTCTCGTCCTCGCACTACTCCTCCTCCTCCTCTTTAGATTCTGAAGCCACTGTAATAGCCCCTGTAATAGTTTACAATGGCCAAGTCACGAACAGTACTGAGAGTGTCTTTCAGTGATGACTAATCATGATTGATGGATAAATACTTTTGTTACCACATCCCTTGGCCTGGATGACTCTTGGGTAACTCTGCGACACACATTTTATAGGGGATGAGCTACTGGGAGTAAGGTCCACTTGCTTCCAGTAAAAGGTGGTACATATCTAACCTTCCTTTGACTGCCTTCTTTTCCTCTGTTCTACTTCAATTTTCTTGGACTAACTTTGTCCTTCACCTTCCAAGTAAACAAATTTTACTTCAACAAACACTGTATGGGGGAATTGGAATAGGGACTGTCTCAAAGCACCACCTATAATTGATGGTAATGTGAGTACTGAGAGAAACTTGAAGAACAGATGATGGTGTAAGTTTCCAGACTATACATTTGAAGAGAGTAGTTCTCAATGGTGTGTTGACGTTTTGCAGATGCCTAATTCCTAGTACATGTTATGTGCAGTACATAGCATTTTGGTTATACCTGTACCTCTTACTTCCCACCTAAGAGCATATCATCAGACTGTCGGTACATAAGAATGTTATTATCTATCTGAGTAGCTGGTTTAATAATGAGTATGTAATGAAATGCAAGGTCCAATATTTTCACTCATGAAATTATTATTCTTTGGGACACACAATATCTGACTGGATAAACTACATACCAGGAACCCATTGTTGAGAACCACTGTCAGAGGGAACGTGCAATTGATTTCTCTGGCCCACTGACAACTAAAATAGCTCAATGAAAACAGCTGCTGGTTCAGTGTTGTGTACTTTCCTTGCTAAAGGGACAGACTTTGCAATCCTTCATTCTCCTGCTTGAACCTAGCTGAACTTCAGTAGCCAAGTGAAGGTTGTGTGAGGTGAGGTGTGTGTATACAGTTTACTTGATAATTAGCCATTAGCATACAGCTTTACTAGCTTCAAGGGGCCACTGAAAATGGCACAGAACTGTCACATAATTATTTCTTTGCGACAAGTACATACAAGGTTATGAAAATACAAGAAAGTACAAAGAAAATGCTATCATCTGCAAAGTTCTTAGAACTCTTTCTACTATTAGGATTTTTATCTGTTTTTGGGTGCTTATGTGATTGTATGGTTTCTGCAGTTAATTTTGAAACAAAATAGGTTTATAATAGAGTATAATTTTATGATTTATTAGATACTGAGAAACTAAAAAGAGTTTTGCTTTAGGACATCTGCCTATTGGAATCCTATAATTTTCCTAAAATGTTATCATTATAGAAAAATGTGAAAAATTTGTATTCTAGGTTAATATTTTATTTATTGCAATTATTATGTTGGAAAAGTTTTAATGTTTAATGCATCAATATTTAATATTTTAGTACTGGTGAACATCTCTAATTAATCTAATTAATTAAAGTTGCTTCCATCTGCTATCTTTTACATAATGTATTTTTAAATATCTAGATTTCAAGTATTCTTGATTTTGTATCAGAAAACGTACATTTTATCTGAAGATTTTGTGTATGTTTGAAATAGCTTAAAGAAGAGAAGAAAATCTCTTTTTTAAAGGAACTGTTTGTTTTTTAAGTCTTACTTCTTTGTACGTATATTTTACAGATTAAAGGAATTACCTGAAGACAAAACATTCTATTCTTCAGAGACTGGACAAGGGTTACTCTTGATCGTGGCAATTAAAAATGATGTTGTCATGGAAACAGTTGATCCTGCTTTTGTTCATTGGCTGCCTAGGAGGTAAAAATACCTTTTTTCTAAAGTTGAAGTTAGAACTATTCTTAAGTCATATGCTTTAGGAGTGTTTAAATATTGAAATAAAAATCTTACCAGTGGCAAGGAAAAACAAGTATTTTTCCCTAGAAAGAAAATTCTGTTGCTCACTTCTGATAATTGGATTCTCATTTTCCTTTTCCCCTAATTTTTCCAGGGGTGTTTTGTTTCAACAGTAAGTATATTGATGACGAATAGTGATACAGGGAGAAAAACTGGTCTCAGGTGGGTGAGCTCCAAACCATATAAGGAAACTCCAAATGACATAGAGAAAAACAATCTCTGGACCTGACCTGCAGGAGTTCATGTTCTCTAAAACCGAAGAATGAATTTTAGGAACAAACGGAGGTTATGAGCAGAATGTATTTATTGAGAGAGAGAGAAAGCTCCTGTCCAAGAGAGGGACAGGAGGGGGGCCTGAGCAGGTAGTTCCCTGGGAAGCTGTCCTTTCCAGGGACTTTTATAGTGTAAAACCATGTGAGGCTAAGGTAGAGAGAATGGGAACTAGCTTAGGTGGGCAGGAGGTGGGACAAAACTATGGTCAACCAATGGGATTACATATGGGACAGGGTCTTTTCCTGTTGGGGTTGGAATGAGGGATAGGGTCTCTTTCTGTTGGGGGTTGGGCTAGTGACTCACTTGGGTCTTTCCAGGTGATTGATATCTATTTAGAATATCAATCTGAGGTGCTACTCGTTTAGCATTTGTTTGGCCTTTAGGTCTTTAGGTCTGGTTCACAGCAGGAGCATCCGCCACTCCTACAGTTGTAAGGCATCTCATCTTGTGTGCTGTCTCCTTTGAGGGCCTGACCCTGTCTGACTGCCTATAATATTTTTATCTAACTGGGCTGCCTACAATAATAGTTGATATCTACTATTAAATTATAATTAGTGTTATAAAGCAAAGCAACCAAAATTTGAGAACGTTAATTTAAGAACTTCTCCCCCGAATAAGCTGAAGTAATAAGCTCTAATATGTAAAAAGAACATAAAATTTAAAGGATGTCAGTATTTTCATATCCCATATTGAAAGACAGCAGTTTATCTCAGCACGTGATAAGACAATCTTATTCTTCTTAACTTGTATTTTAATTAATTAATTAATTATTTTCTGTATTTTAGGGAAGGGTCTACAGGGTGTTCAGGGTCTCACTACTAGATCGGACTTGTAGTGATCCGCCTGTTTACAGCCTCCCAAGGGCTGGAATTATAGGCACGCACCACCATGCTCAATCTCAATTGCAATCTCAGCCCTGAGGGGTGGGGCTGACCTGGTAGACCCGGGAATTGAACCCCTGGCCTGTGCTCCTGCTTGCAGGTGATTTAATCCACTGAGCTATTTGGCTGACCCGTTTTTTGTTTTTTGTTTTTTAATTTTTAAGAAATATAAAATGTTGAGTGACATAAAGAGAAAAAAAAATCAGTATTTATAAAATTAACTGTTGTAAATTATGCCTGCATATATATAATATATATATATTATATATATTATATATATATATCTTATTGTTTTCTTCCTTTTTATTATAAAAGTTCTCAAGCAAGTGTGAATTTGCAGGGCTGGAGAGATGGCTCAGTGGTCTAAAGCACCTACTTGAAACAAGCTTGGCAAAGCACAGGGACCGCGGTTCGATCCCCCAGCACCACATGCCAGCCAGACCCGCCCCCTGGTGGGCTGAGCTGGCCACACATACACACAATAAATAAATGTAATAAATAAAAATAAATAAATAATTAAAAAAAAGTGTGAATTTGCAGGAATGCTACATATTTGCTATGGTACTATTGTCGTGTATTATGTGATCTGTGTGCAGGTGTGCTCACAGTTTTCCTTTTATTTATTTATTTCTGGCTAACACATTTGGAAGGAGGGTATAGAAATCATCTCTCACTCCTAAATTTTAGCACTTGTCTCTTAAGAACAATTTTCTATTAAAATACAATTTCTCGTGACACCTAAGGGAGCTGACAAAAAAAAAAGAAGAAGAAGAAGAAGAAGTTGCTTGTCACTTCCCGTCTCTAAGAGGAGGAGAGTGTTGTAAGAAGCCAAATGGAAGTGGCAGGTAAAACACAGGCCATGGGGGGACGATAGGCTGCTGAGACGCTGGGCTCCGACCTTAGAATTCAGAACAACTTCTTCAATTAGGTAAAGGATAAAGATGTAGCAAAACTTCATAGTCATTAATGGATTATAGGTTAAAACTTACTACTTTTGGCCGGGGAGATGGCTCAGTGGACTAAGCGCTTCCCTGGCAAGCGCAAGGGCTTGAGTTCAATCCCCGGTTCCGCCAAAAAAAAAAACTTACTACTTTAAAATATTTCGTACAGCCTTTTTATGTTTTCGCTGATGTCTCAATTTTGTTGCTGAAACATTTTCTTCACCTGCTGCTATTTTAGTACTGATAAAGAAGGAGTAATTGTGAATTTCTTACTTTTAAAATGGGCTTTGGGAAAAGATCAATACAGACATCAAAGCTGAAATATTTTTACTCTCAAATTATCTTCTTTATTTGCACAGTTTTAAATTTATGTTTAAGGAAAAAAAAAGCCAAGGCAATAATTTTCCACCATAGATAAATTTTATTTATCAGGTTTCTGCATTTTTGAGAAATGTTTATGTGTTGATGATTAAATTCATATAAAAAGTATCAATTTTACTCAAATGTAAATAAATCATTAAATAATTTTAGGGTCAGCTTGAATATAGATATAATGGTAAACATTTTTAAAAGTTAAATAAGGAAGAATTCAAGTAACTCATATATAAAATGAAGCATATATGGTGCAATAGGAATTTGTTGCTCATAATATTCATATCATGGAGAAAAAAATGGGCTTTTAAAACTTTTTATGTATTGCTTATCACTGTATTTTCTATATCCTGGATCAAGGTAAAATTCAAACAAAAACTTACTTCTGAGGGTGACACTCTTAACAAATCCTGGGTCATGCTGGGTGCAGTATTAAAATCAATTCATGACTTAGGGGCTATCCTACATATTTTAGATTTAATAAAAACAAGTAAACTCAATTAGTAGGGTTTGGCAGAAGATATAAACTCCATAAATGTCATAGCTACTAGCTAAGTTGTATTTTCTGTCTTTTCAAATTTTGGGGGCCGACCAAATAACTCTGTGGATTAAAGAGTCTACAAGCAGGCGCAAGGGCCCGTGGTTCGACCTCTGGGCCTGCCATGCCAGCCTTGTCCCCAGGGCACGCTGATAAGGCAATTGAGACAGGATATCATGGTGTGGCCTGTAATCCCAGCTCTTGGGAGGCTGTAAACAGGCAGATCACTACGAGTCTGATCTAGTAGTGAGAACCTGAACACCCTGTAGACCTGTCCCTAAAAATGCAGAAAAAGAAATTGTACATTTTTCCTTCCATTTTCTTCTGTTGTTTTGTCTGCAGGTTTTCCCTGTAACAATGACAACAAAAGGCCAGTAGTAATTCCTGGTAGGCATTTATCCAAGAATACATTTGGCCGGATTTTTACCCAAAAATGCTGTTTAATCATTTAGTACACTCAGTATATAGTGTACAGTTTACAATAAATACTCTTAAAAATTTGGTTTACAAAACCAAATTCTACTCCATAATTTAATTATGGACATTGCCTTTTTCCCTAATACGCTATGTGTAGTGAGTCAGATATGAAATAGTCCAGGTTCAAATACCAACTTTTCCTTTTTTTTTGTTACATTTTATGTATTTGGCACAGGGTCTCACTACGCAACTGGGACTCATAGTGATCTTCCTACTTTCAACCTCCCTAGTTCTGGGATTGCAGGCATGCACCACCATGCCTGGACACTTTCTCCAGCTCAGGGTGCCCCAGGAGTGGGGCCGGGTGGCCTGGTCTCTGCACTTGCCAAAGCAGGCACTTCGTCTGCTGAGCTATCTCCCCCACCTCTCACTTACCAACTCTTGAAGTACTTTTTTTTTTTTTTCTAAACAAATAATTAAGATCCTTTATGTACAGGCTGTATTTTGAGAAAATGTATGGAGGTCTCTGTCTCTGCAGGGGTTATAGACACCCTGTCACATCGTAGCTGCAGTGACATTGAGTGAGGAGGAAGCAGTCTGTGCAAGAGGAGCCGGATGAGCTTGGAGCATGGGCTACGGGTTGCTGCTTTCAATAAGGCCTGCAAGTTTGTTGTCCTCGCGAAGGTCACATGTGAGCAAAGATTTACTGGAGAAAAGCTGACTGTGCGCATATCTAGGGAGGAGCGCTCCCAAAGCAGCCCCAGCAGAGGACCTGACGAATATTCCAGACATTGCAATAAGGTCAGCATGGTTGGGCTCAGAGGAGTTTCCGGAGAAAAGTGGGGGGTAAGTGCCTCTAGGAAATGGGAACGTAGACACAGCACAGAAGGGATGCAGCAGTAAATTATGCTGAACATTTACTCTAAGTTCTCTCCAGAGACATATGGTTTGAGCAGAGAAGGACTATCATCTGGTTTATTTCTTTAAAGGATCTGAAGGGTTGATTGAATAAGAAGTTGTAGATTTTAGAGAAGAAAAAAGCTAATAGGAGCCCAGATAGATAAGGGTGGCATAATCAGGCAAGAGGTGTTGGTGATCGACTCCAGGATGGCAGTAGGGCTGGGCACGACATTTTGAATATATTCTGAATTTTGAACTATGAGTTGGAGTTTAGTGTGAGGTATGCAGCAAAAGATGAGTTGCAGTTAACTTTCAGGCTTATCCACTCTGCTTAGAGGTAGGTCATCTCTGTCTGCATCATAGGGTGTGCAGAGCAGGTAAATTGAAGCCACAGCCCCACATGGGCACGAGGGCTTTACAAAGGTGGATAACTTCTCAATATCCAGTAAAACTGTCACCCTATTGGACTGGGATCAAGGTTTTAAATTGGAATGGATAAATTAGCATTACGAAAAATGAATTAAAATATGAGTGTACCACCCACAAAATAGAACAAATATTGTGTCTGCTGAGTAATTCAAA